TATTCTAACTTGTGGATAGAAGCAAAAGTTTCCACTGCCAAATAGTTTAGCACTGATAAATGGAACTCATTGTCATTGTTTGCCAATTGAATATTCACAGAACAAGATCCAGAGGGTTTCTTGTTCTTCAAATTTGTTCTTTCAGTAAAAACATATCTTTTTCCAGGTTATGAGCATTCCACTTTATCTTGTTCATTCCTATTCAACTGTGCATTGCATGAATTATATACTGACATGTCTTTTGCCACTGGAGATGTTTGTGAAGTAGCAGTAATAATAAAAAATGAGGATAAATAGCAGATACGTAAAACAAAGAAAGGAAAGGAAAGAAGGTAAGGAAATGAAAGGAAAGAAAGAAGGAAGGAAAGGGATTTAAAGATTAATTCCTGAAAAAGTTGCTAATGAAACCTGCCATTTCAAACACTTCACATATATTACAGCAGCTGGCACAGTGTCAATCTCATCATTAAGCAATCCAATAATCAAACTGGGTCAATCCAATCATTAAAAGCAATTGAAAACTCTCAGAAAATACTACCAACTGGCACTATAATAAAAGTAGGGCTGAATGGAAGTGGGGAATGAAACAAGTGTCTTTGTTTAACAGAAACTCTTCAAATAAAGAGTATATACAACTTCAACTTTGAACTAAAATCCTATATAGTCTTACCACTGAGATCAATACTAATTTTTGAGTAGCAAATAATGACACATAAATGGATCTTCTGGATTTCGCGATATTAGAAATGTCTACTTTAATTCCTTCAATCTGATGTTACGCTTAGCAATTTCAGCTATCAGGTATCTCACACTGCAAATCAGAAGTACCACAAGAGAGATACACTACATAAAGAGAGTTGTTCAAGTATTTCTAAACTATATTGTTTATCATCAAAGCAGAATTTGAATCAGTTCAGGTGTGATCTTAAACTTAGCACCAATAAAGACACAAACATATAACAAGTTAAGATTTTGATAGTGCATGATTTCTTTGATGTATAATTATGTAAGCCATAAGAAAGACATTAAAAATGTTTGCAATGAAAAGTTACTGAGGCAATCCATTCCCCATAAAAATCTGCTCATAAAAATATTTTTTCAAATATGCTTTTAAGAGAAAAGAATAGCAATAATTATAGCTTTTAGACCTATATACCTCTCCATAGTGCTTTACAGCACTCCGAGTGGCTTACAGAGTCAACATATTGCCCCCAAAATCTGGAGCCTCATTTTACTGACCTCAGAAAAATGAAAGGCTAAGTCATGATCAAATTCCCTACTGTGGGCAGAGTTAACCTGCAATATTGCATTCTAACCACTGTCTTGCCATGGCTCTTATAAATCCCTGTTTTCTAATATGAATCTTTTGAGCTCAATGAAATCTTCGCGAAAGAATTTATGCCAAACATTTCAAGCATATGTGTGGAACTAATTATAAAAGCAAGTAAGAAATGGCTACACCGTCTTGGATAGAGCTGGGGATGTTTTAGAAATTGATTTCAAACATTATGAGAAATAAACCAAATGGAAGGAGTCATGAAGCCTCTCCCCATACTTTTAATGTGTTTATTACTCCATGGGGAAGTAAGAGGTACTTCTGGAACCTTGGACAACTCATCCTTTGATTGGGTGCATGTTGTGCTTCTTCTTAATTTTGTTGTGTCTTACTGTTTTAACTCTTCTTTAATATTTTCATTACTGTAAGCCACCCGGAGTCCTTCGGGATTGGGTGGCCTAGAAATTCAATAAATGAAATGAAATGAAATCCTATGAAAAATAGGAAGGATGAATTACCTGTATTGAATGAACCCTGTTTGTAATATGTGACAATTCTTTGTAGACATTTGAGAATCAGTTCCCCAAATCTCTTTTTAATTTTTTTTTAAAAAATTACTACTCTCTAAACAAGGATTTCAAATTTAAGCATCTAATTAAGATGCATGTTTTAAAAAATTCTCAAGAAACAGAAGGTATAACTGATTCAAATTCCAAGGTAAGGATAGCATATGTAGTTTAACGCTAGTAAGAATGAGATAATAACTCACAGACTTACTGAAGGAACAGAAGGCTGAGTGCTGAATGCCTGTCACTGCATAACTATTCTTGGAATCTTGGTTCTGTTATGTAGTTAGAATAGAATAGAATAGAATAGAATAGAATAGAATAGAATAGAATAGAATAACAACCACACTAAGATGTAAGATCCTAGCAGCTGCAGACCAGAATTAAAGGAGGACTTCTTTTGTTAGGAAGATTAAAATCAAGAGTATTCATAGGAATCCAAAAAATCAAGATGGCGGTTGTACTCTTATGACGGAAGCATCACCCTTGTTTACATGCATTGCAACACATGTAAAAAAATGGGCAAAAGTTGATTCCTCTTCATAGATTTAAATTAAACTCACTGAGTTAAAAAGGATGGTCAGGAAGATCAGCTGAGGCTGCTGTTCTTTGGAACCAATTTCCTCAATATTAGTTTCTCAGTTTCTTCATGACTATCACGGAAGTTACAAATAACTATGGCTCTTCCTAGCAAGTAGATAAAATGCAGGAGATAAATTAATTGTTGATATTTCTAGGGTTTAAATGTCAAAATAAGAAAGGTTTCTGCTGAATTCAATTATTTTTCAAAACCTATTAAACATACACAATGTCAAAATAGGCTTCAAATGTCAGCAGAGGAATTAAAGCCTTATCTATAAACAGTAGAAACGAGTGGTATTCACTTAGCTTCCCTACTGGTTTGTAAATGTAAGCATGCACAGCCTTCCACGCAGAGGTGGTATTCTGACGCTTCGCACCGCTTCGGGCAGCGTGAGGTTCCGCCCATCCACCCAGATGTCATCACAGACTTTTTCTGCATGTATGTGCGCACTACCGCTACTGAGCAGGTAGTGAAGAGAAGAGGATACTAATTCCGTGCATGCGCTTTTGGTGAAAAAAATGGCCTAAATGGAATGCCATAGAACTGGGGCGAGTGGGCGGAGCAACCCACGGTTTCCGCTACCAGTTCAGGTGAACTGGTCCAAACCGGTAGAATACCACCTCTGAGTGGAAAATGACACAAATGGAAACAGTCATGTACACTTTATCCATTTACTAATTTCATCTTTACAAAGGTCTCCCTTTGTAAAATGACTTTGGTCCAGGCACTGCTCTGAGTTACTCAGAGTGCCAATGAGTGGACCTCGCTTGTCATAGTCTTACTGCAAATACATTCCATGCACATAAATGGTGGATGTTTAATGAATGACTGGACAATATTTAGATTTAAAATGTACCAAAATGTAGTACTTTTACCAGTAATTTTAAATTGCTTAAATGATGCTTGGGCCTAATGGAAAACATATGCAATAAGCTAACTGTGCATAGCCAGGAATTAGGGATCCAAGAAACTGAGAGTACTATATAGTCCCCTATTGCAAGGTCAAAGGGAAAAGACAGGGCAGTATATAGAAGGCTGGCTAACACGTAAAGATATAGCCAGTAAAAAAAGCCCCTGAAAAGTAGCAATGCTTAAGTGTTGTGGCCCAGCAGGAGCCGTTGGAGCTGCAAACAGACTCTGATAGCGTGGGACCCTATGAGTCGGCTCTGGAAGATGTGGAGGACCCTGGACAGGGTTCAGACTCCGAGCAGGGACCAGAAAGGCTGCTTGGCCACCAGGAGGCACCTAGGCATGGAGCAGTGGTAAAAGCCAAAGGGAGTGTGTCCTTGACGTCAGGCCCTGGAGCAGTGGTGAAGACATCAGGCCTTTAAGCAGTGATGAGGTGCAGAGGGAATTGGTCCCGGACGCCCGGCAGAGGGGGGCGGATATGCGCCGGTAGCAATTATGGAGACAAAGGAGATAATTGGACCCAGGTGGTTGTGATTAGGCTCCCCCCA